TAAAAAAAAAAAGATAGTGAAAAATGTGTATCCTGAATTCCCTCCTACGTTAGCAGATCAGTGACATACACCATTGAGACTTTAAAAAAATCAAAGAGGATCTCATCAGTTTGGATGATAGGAAGATATGCAGTCAAACTCTGGAGAAAGTGTACATTTCACAAATATTTAAAATAAATTTATATAATTTTCAAATGTTCGCTTAGAAATTAATATAGCACAGTAGGCATAGCCTATGTTTTTCTAATGATTTAAACTAAGCACATGATAGAAACTGTAAAAGAAAGAAATGTGGGTTTTTTTTTTTTTTGTTTTTTTGGTTTTTCGAGACAGGGTTTCTCTGTGGCTTTGGAGCCTGTCCTGGAACTAGCTCTGTAGACCAGGCTGGTCTCGAACTCACAGAGATCCGCCTGCCTCTGCCTCCCGAGTGCTGGGATTAAAGGCGTGCGCCACCACCGCCCGGCATGAAATGTTCTTTTCAATGAACTTCTGGAAAGCAAAATAAGCTTGAAAAGTATTTTAAGACAATTTTTAATAGAGGAAGAGACATTTCGGTTTCTTTAACATTAGGAGTGGCTAAAATATTCCCATATTATTCATATGGGTAAATAACACAAATTAATTTCAGGCATAATAAAAACTTCCCTTGTCCTCACTTCACCTTTACAGAACCTGGATATAATCATAATCATAAAGAACCACGTATGTTCTGCTAAGGAGACAGGCGTGCCATGGCTGAAGAGGAAGAATGAAAACGTGGTGATTTAAAAGACGGGCCCAGTTCTGCCTGAACAACAGGGCTCTGAGAAAGCAGCAGCGAAGCTGTGAGATGTCCCACGAGTCTTACAGCACAGGGTTCAATTGTTTGATGATGACGGAGGAGGTGGTGGTGGGTAACTTGTTCTAAACATTTCTCTATTTTTACTCATTCTATCCTCCTAGTGATCTGTGACAACACAGTGCTACACTGTGGAACTGAGGCCATGCAGTCATCAGCTGGCGAAGGCAAGCTCGGAATCCATACAGGCTAGCTCTAGAGGCTCTGCTGGCTGCCCCAGGGCTCTGCTGTAGGATTGGTATAGACAGAAGTATTTAAGTATATATGGTAACTTGATGAAGAGACAGTGGTAGATATAGGTGGAAAGATTAAAGAGAGAGAGAAAAAGAGAGA